ACATAGTGAGCTATAAAAGGCCCCGAAATGACAAATGTAAAACAATTCAAACAGGAAAACTAACGGCCTGATTTATGAACAAAACAATGAACGAAATACTAATATGATATACAGTAACAAACGACAAACATTGAATTACAGGCTCTTGACTTGTGATAGGCACATACATAATGTGGCGGGGTTAAACATGTGTGCGGGCTGTTATAGAATGCACAAATTTCAAACTATCACATTTCTATGTTCAGTGAACCGTGTTATCGAGGGTAAAACCTTAATCTGCTATATGATATAAAAGTTCACATTATAATGAACAATTATCCTAAATTTCAAGTTGATGTGACCGCACTTTCCTGATAAACTACATATACTACTAAAACCATTACCTGATACGGGACAGAATTACGGACGGACGGACGCAGAGAAATATAAACACAATGCTCCCTATACTATCGTAAGCGTGCATAAAAATGAACGTTACATCAATAAAAAGCTCTTAACTATTTCAGATATCAAATACAAACTTTGTTATAAAAGTTTAAGTTAATACATCCTGCACTCAGTACTTTACTTTTATGTATAATTATTATGAGGAGAAGTACTTATAACATTTCTGCTATAGGTATACTATCTCGTGATTTCAATTGTTTTTGTTTTGTCAAACGGTTGTCTTTTTCTATGAATCAAACAATTGTCAAAGTTTAAGTACTTTCTTCAATTGTTGTAAAATTGAGAAAGTACATTGTTTTAAGAGAGAAAAAAAGAAAACAATTATTTCCTCACCAGTTGAAATTTCCTGTTATCTGTTTCACATTGTTTGACTCTGTGCGATATATAGCTTAACATATCACATATACGTCTGGCTTTAGTTTGCCGATGTTTTCTAGTTATTTGAGTCGTTGGTTTGTTGTCTCATTGTTATATACTCCACATCTTTTAAACGTACCGCCTCGGTGGTCTCGTGATAGCGTGTTCGCCTCGAGTGCGGGAGGTCGTGGGTTCTAACCCCGGTCGGGTCAAACCAAAGACTTTAAAATTGGTATTTGCTGCTTCTCCGCTAAACACGCGGCACTAATGAGTAAGAGCAAAGACTGGTCGGCTCGGAGTCAGAATAATGTGTCAGGGTAAGGTGACATGTCTTCCTGTGGACTGTTACCTTGTGAACTAGCATGTTAAAAATCCGGCTCAGCGTGTGGGTCTAATACAAAGCAGGGTTAATATTCATATTACATTAACAGGTTCTCGTCCTGAATATGCATATTAATTTGCCGCTGGACGTTAAGCAGCCATCCATCATCATCATCTTTTAAACGTAACCATTTGTTAGTTTATCATTCAAGTAATCACTTTCAGACAAACTATATGAAAATAAGGAGATGTTATATTGTATAGAGTTCCCTTGTGAATATCGGTTGTTGTTCCGTACATTTACGGCATTCAACGTTTTGACAACTATGACTACACATAGGATCATATTCCTTGAATTATAAGGATATTGGAAATTGATAACAAATAATAATAATGTATTTTATCATTGGGCCATACATATGTACGTTAACTTTAACACATACATACATTCTGTATGTGCCTGTCCCAAGTCAGGAGCCTGTAATTCAGTGGTTGTCGTTTGTTGCTGTGTAACATATTTGTATTTCGTTCATTAATTTGTCATAAATTAGTTAGTTTTCTCGTTTGAATTGTTTTACATTTTTCATTTCGGGGCCTTTTATAGCTGACTATGTGGTATGGAGTTTGCTGATTGTTGAAGGCCGTACGGTGACCTATAGTTGTTGATTTCTGTGTCATTTGGTCTCTTATTGAGAGTTGCCTCATTGGCAATCATACCACATCTTCTTACCAAGCAATTTAATTTCGGAGGATAACCTCACATAGCGGGGTGGGTGTAGGAGGATAACCTCACATAGCGGGGTGGGTGTAGGAGGATAGCTCACATAGCGGGGATGGGTGTTGGAGGATAACCTCACATAGCGGGGTGGGTGGAGGAGGATAACCTTACATAGAGGGGGAGGGTGTAGGAAGATAACCCCACATAGAGGGGGTGGGTGTAGGAGGATAGCCTCACATAGCGGGGATTGGTGTAGGAGGATAACCTCACATAGCGGGGGTGGGTGTAGGAGGATAACATCACATAGCAGGGATGGGTGTAGGAGGATAACCTCACATAGCGGGGGTGGGTGTAGGAGGATAATATCACATAGCGGGTTGGGTGTAGGAGGATAACCTAACATAGCGGGGATAGGTGTAGGAGGATAACCTCACATAGCGGTGATGGGTGTAGGAGGATAACCCCACATAGAGGGGGTGGGTGTAGGAGGATAACCTCACATAGCGAGGATGGGTGTAGGAGGATAACCCCACATAGAGGGGGTTGGTGTAGGAGGATAGTATCACATAGCGGAGTGGGTGTAGGAGGATAACCTCACATAGCGGGGATGGGTGTAGGAGGATAATATCACATAGCGGGGTGGGTGTAGGAGGATAGCCTCACATAGCGGGGATGGGTGTAGGAGGATAATATCACATAGCAGGGATGGGTGTAGGAGAATAGCCTCATATAGCGGGGATGGGTGTAGGAGGATAATATCACATAGCGGGGTGGGTGTAGGAGGATAGCCTCACATAGCTGGGATGGGTGTAGGAGGATAACCTCACATAGCGTGTGTAGGTGTAGGAGGATAGCCTCACATAGCGGGGATGGGTGTAGGAGGATAACCTCACATAGCGGGTGTGGGTGTAGGAGGATAACCTCACATAGCGGGGTAGGTGTAGGAGGATAGCCTCACATAGAGGGGGTGGGTGTAGGATGATAGCCTCACATAGCGGGGATGGGTGTAGGAGGATAACTTTTCATAGCGGGGTGGGTGTAGGAGGATAACCTCACATAGTGGTGGTGGGGGTAGGAGGATAACCTCACATAGCGTGGGTAGGTGTAGGAGGATAGCCTCACATAGCGGGGATGGGTGTAGGAGGATAACATCACATAGTGGTGGTGGGCTAGGAGGATAACCTCACATAGCGGGGGTGGGTGTAGGAGGATAGCCTCACATAGCGGAGAGTGGGTGTAGGAGGATAACCTCACATAGCGGGGATGGGGATAGGAGGATAACCTCACATAGCGGGGTTGGCAGCTAGGAGGATATTAACCTCACATAGCGGGGGTGGGGGTAGGAGGATAATCTCACATTGTAACTATCATATGATGATTGTGTGTTGAAAACTTTGCGTTCGATATTAGGTCACAGGAAGAAACAAGCATGTCTGTCACAAGTTGATATTAAAATGAGTAGTTTATAAATGTTATTTCGTTTATTAAAATTTTCATTATATGATATACAGTTTAAGAAAGAAAAAAGAACTGAAATTATATTAATCATACATAATATTTTGTTTGGAACCCTTATAAAAATTTGTCTTTAAAAATGGGAAAAGGACAGGCTTACATTAAGGTGGCATGGGAGTCTTCCGCAATCTTGAATTGTAAAATAACAGAACATAATAGGTCTAACTGTTCAATCAAGTCAGCAAATTTCGATGCAAGAATGAAATTTACTAAAACGAATTTTCGATAAAATGAACAAATGTGTGTGATTTCATTTTATATTAACTAATATTTTACAAATATAGAATATATTCACTTGATTTCCCCCAGCTTATCGTATTAAGGGGAGGTAACTCTGAAATTGTACACTTTATTAAAGGAATGTACATGATTATTTCTATTATGTGTTATAGCAGGAAAAAACGTACGGTGACCCCATTTTTTTTGTCTATTAATAGACGCTATCTGCTCATACTTTATTTTAAAGTTCTATCGTTGAGTTTTACTTCTATTCACATAATTATGCCTTTTCTCTGTATAGTCAATACAAAATATGTCATTTTTTCACAATCTGTAGCTTGAAAACAAGCTCGGTGATCTATTATTTTTATGATATTTTTTTTACAAATAACAAAATATACTACATTTTGACACTGTATGAAAAAAATCGGTAATTTTTAATTTTTCTCCAATATTACCTTTAATAACTATGTTGACTGTGCTCATTATTGTGAATCTATTTCCCCTGTGACTTTATTTTCTGTAAATTTTTCCATGATGTTTTTATATTCCTTTCCTAGAACCATTGCTCTGCCCCTTTTTTGCCTCTTGTTCATCGTAATAGGGTAACGATAACAGAGAAGAAAATCGTTTTGAACTGTAAAGTCTAAAATCTTTTAGTCTCACCGAAAGTCAATTTTTTATGGATTTTTTTTTATATTCAAAGTAAAATTTGGAATATACTATAAATATACTAGCATATTACGTCCTACCTAAAACTAAGTCGGTTTGAAAAATAGGATGATAGTAATAATTAAGCTTACTATTTTTATTCTTAAAATTATTATCCCACATCATTCTTTTATACACATCATATACTTTAAGCACAATCGACCGTTTAGCATGTTCCTACTAACTTATACGAAAATAAATATAGAGTGATATTTTTCATTTCTTCGCTTTATTTGTTTATTTTGTAAAATTCAACAGGAAATACAATCTGCATTATTCTTGCGACATAAGAATTATATTTTCTATAAATTTGAAATACAATGTTTGCAAATTTAAAATACAATGTTTAACGAACAATTTTGAGTACCTTTTTGCTTTGATGACCTATTGGGTGAGAATGTAGACCGTTGCAATTGATAGATGAGAATGTAGAACGTTGCTTTTTATTTCAATAACAAAGATGTTTAGAAAACAACTTAAGCATACTATTTAACATTTAGTTCGTTATTTGTTTTGTTTTTTTAAAGTTGTCTCGGACTTTATTGTCGCTTGTCATTTTCTCCAATTAAAACACGTCAGGTCTTTGCTATATACTTTTGAAAGTAAATTAAAATGATTTTATTCTGCTATGACAACTGGCTGTTTGCCTTTTCAATAAAAATCGAAGGCTTTTCAGTCTCGCTCTCATTTTACTCATTAAAAGTAAGAAAATAGTAAGCACCAAACATTTGTCTGCATTCTCCGGATTTACTTCTTATATAGTAAGTAATTCAGCATGTAGTCGATAAAGTACACTAGTCTGATGAAAAAAAAGTGTTTTTTGTAGTAGTTCACTTTAAATTCATCCTTATAATTAAAATTTCATTCCATTCAATTTCAGGTGTTTTTTTAAGCGATGATTTAAAACTTTGCAAAAATGTCCAATTCGTAAAAGCATGTTGGGACTATTTTTATGGAGTTATCAATTGATTTTGGGGGAGAGGGGATGTAAAGAGGATTTTTCACTGATTTAATATTCATTTTCAACTATTGCAAGGCTGATTTGCAGTACAATATGGTGACCTAAAATTGTTAACTTCTATGTCATTTGGTTACTGCATGGTAGAGAGTCGTCTTAATGACAATCATACCACATCTTATTTCTATATTATTTATATTCAGTTCTGTGCATAATGATTTATTGTATTTTGTTAGGCAAAATATTCCTTTTCAAGCTGTTTCGCACAAGACAATTTTTTGTAGTCCTTTCAATGCCAGCTTTATTTTCAAAATCTGACCCTTCTTCTTAGAGATTCAAATGGTCGCCCCCTTAACTCCACTAAGTTTTAAGCATAATTTAATGTCTTCTCTTTTATACAACGACTTGGCGTTATTGTCACGTGCTAGATGTATAAATCTATGAGTTATGTGAATTTGTCAGTTTTATCATTTATTTTCAGGACGGCTTTTAACAATGAGCAAAACCTATACCGTATAGTAAGCTATAAAATGTCCCTATACATGACAAAATGTAAAAAATTCAAACGAGAAAATCAATGGCCTGATTTTTTATAATACCATTAATAAATGCAAATAGTTAATACAGACAGCAACCAACAACAGCCATTGAATTACCGTTTCTTGACTTTGGACAGTCACAAATACAAATGTAAAACACAGACATGTTAGACAACCCCCATACAGAAAATACCCCAAACGAAAACAAAACAAAACAAAAAAAACCTGAGTTATCATCCTTAGTCCTTTAGTGTAAATATTGAGAGGTTTTATTTCCGATATTGTGAGATAAACGATTTTGTTAAATAATCAATACTTTGTAGAACGTCGTACACAAAACAAAAATAGTAGTAGGTGAATTTGTAGAACGTCGCTGAACCATATATTGGACAACGTTGTTCTCTATATTCGCCGAGAAACTTTTGGAATAGATTGGGTTCATATCAGGTTCAACTAAGTACTTCTAAATAAAAAGATATAAACAAGTTTTATACTACATGTCACTTTTTTTTTATTTAAACAACGAGATATCACAAGGAAAACTTTTCGTTTGGAAGAAATTGCTCAAATAGCATGCACTTTCAAAAATTCTCTTGATAGAGATCGAAGTCAATTACTTCAAGCCAGAAGCAATAGCTTTTCACCAGACGAAAAATTTCGAAAACTGAAATGGTATTTTAAATGATAATTCATAGAGCTTGTTTTCTTCTGGTTTGTGACAACGAAAATCAATGACGAGAAAAAATCATCATGAAGAAATACAACGGGAATTTTAAATCATATTTATTGCACTTTTTTTTATGCAAGAGAACCCAGTTAGCGTGTATTATTCCAACATACGCGTTCTAAACAGATTAAAGCTATCTAAAAGACATATAGCGGTCAACATTCATGTAGGGGTCCTTTAACACTGTTTCCTTTTCTTACATTCTACTGGTATGGTTTTAAATTGTAATCAACTCTTAAACTATGTTTCTGACCGTTTTCCAGATAGAAAATGGCTACCCAGACATCAACACTATTACTGATCAGCTTTATACTGGTTCTGATAGCTTACCTGTTTGATATTATCGGGTTCTCAACAACATACCATACCGTTGTTGATGGTACCAGTTTCGATGTCCATGGCGGACTATGGAAACAGTGTGTAACAGTCAATGATGTTACAACATGTACAGACATTTCTAGCTCATTTGAAGATGAAGGTACTGTGTTAAAGTATTGCTGCGTGTTTGTTTTTTCTACATTGGCTAGAGGTATAGGGGGAGGGTTGAGATCTCAAAAAACATGTTTAACCCCGCCGCATGTTTGCGCCTGTCCCAAGTCAGGAGCCTCTGGCCTTTGTTAGTCTTGTATGATTTTTAATTTTAGTTTCTTTTATATATTTCGGAGTTTGGTATGACGTCCATTATTACTGAACTAGTACATATTTTTGTTTAGGGGCCAGCTGAAGCACGCCTCCGGGTGCGGGATTTTCTCGCTGTATTGAAGACCCATTGGTGGCCTTCGGCTGTTTTCTGCTCTTTGGTCGGGTTGTTGTCTCTTTGACACATTCCCCATTTCCATTCTCAATTTTATTGTTTGGTGTATAAATCTGTTTAACCGTAGAAGTTCCTGTAAAATGTCTCTGGTAAACAAACACCTATCGTAAAACCAACACGAATTTTTAATTTACATTTATAAGATGGTCTGGAATGGGGTGGAAGCTCAATGTTTTTTTGGCTCATCATTTTCTATTCTGTAAACCCCATCAACATCTTCTTATATGAATTGTTTTTGTCAGATTTTTGCTTGTATTTTGACTGAAATTAAATGCAATATTTGATATCATTAATTAACTGATTGTCGTTTGCTCAACGTCCAGTGGCAAATATTTCATGCATGTTCTAGACAAGAACAAAAATTAACAAAAACTTTAATAGTTAGGTCCTGCAATAGAGGCCGTCGGGGGATCAAGGTCGGGTAAATTTGAACTGCAACTGGAAATTGAGGTATTTGATGAGGATAGAAAATTTTCCTTCCACCCGGACACCTACGGATCCCTCAAAGAATTGTTGCAAGGTTTTTTTTAAACGTGCAGAGATCGTGGCAGTCTCTCTACATGAGGCATCGGATTTAACGTCCCAATTCAGACTGGATGTGGATGCGTACAAATACATCCCGCACAGCCAAAAGGTCTCCACACTTTACCAAGGGTTATTACTATCGGTCGGAAGAAGACAAAAGTTACCATGTTTGTATTCACCAGTCAACCTTGAGAACGGCCCGTAAATATTTGATATGACATTTCAATCAAACGGAATGATATAAATAAAAAGAGGTGTACTTTCTGTATGCATCAATAAGATAGCTACACAAAATCCTCAAAACTTAAAAAAAAACCAAAACAAACCAAAGTACAAGCTTACAAGAGAAGCGCAGGTTATTGATAATATTTCGATCCCATCTAAATAATAAACAGTCATCTTCAAGTTATTTGACATAGTGATTGGGTCAAATATTGCAGGAATATCTGTTTTGCTTAATTTCCAGTTTCGCCCAATGGCCAACGACTTTTGAAAAAGCCTGCCTCAAAGATTGTTTAGGAAAATAATTGATACATGATTTGTCTGTTAATCTTATTCAAAATCGTTATCTACTTGTTTGTGAATAAAAAGAAATGTGATGTATTCGTCAATGGAACAGCAACCCAATGATATAAAAATGAATAAAAACCAAACATAAGCTATCTCACGAACGCAGACACCAAAAAGTGGCAAAAATATAGGAACGTACATATCAAGCACAAAGATAACAGTATCCAAACATGTATTCGTCTATCAATAGCGTAAAAAATCCCTGTAAAATAAACTTTTTAAAGTATACACTAAGGTCAAATAACTGATTGATTAAATGTGAAATGAGCGTGTCTAACTTGACAATTACTACAAGTATATCGGCAAAAAGCTCTATAGAGCGTATGTTTGTAATGATCATGTTAATCCGACTTTACAAAATAATTCTATGCTATTATATTTTATTCTATTCTATACAAATTGAGTGTTCAAGATAGTACATTATAAACACCATTACTAGTTCAAAACATACGATAAAGTTAATAATTTGTGTTGTTATATTAGATTGGTTTAGATCTTGTCGAGCTCTCAGCATCATTGCATTGATATGTTTCCTAGCTGGTGCCATTTGTACTGGGCTAAAACTGTTTGCTCTGAAGGAGAATAAAGCAATACTCATCGCTGCAATTTGTACAATACTAACTGCAGGTAGGTATATAAACTATGTTAAACGCCATGTTATATGTGATACTGTCATATAACAACCGAAAGTGTGTAAGGATTTAAAGTGGATGTATATAGAATTTAACTGAACATCGTCATTTTCACACACAAAGAAAGAAACTCCATTCATTCAGTATTAAAACAGATTTTTATGACAGTTTACATAATATTTGTATAAAGCATTTTTTTTCTCCTATACACCGAATTTTATTCGAAGCCACTTTTTAAAGTTAATGTATATAGCATTTAATTGAACATCGTCATTTTAACACACAAAGAAAGAAACTCCATTTATTCAGTTATTAAAAAAAACCCAGATTTTAATGATAATTTACAAAATGTTTGCATAAAGCATATGTTTTTTTTTTTGTCTAAATCGACTTAATTGAAGCGACTTCTTTTAAATGCTGATCATTGCTCACACGATTTATACACACTAGACGAATGCAGCAGAAAGCATATTGTACTCTCTATATTATTCGTGACGTTCTTGACAATTGTTCATTTAACCTAAGTATCGAATTTTAAAAATATAACTATTATCGCTTAAAAAGTAAACAGTTTAAGATACAGCACTAACTGATTCAAATTGCTATTCGGACACCCAATAAAAAAAAACTATGATCGATACCGCTGATGTGTACTCGGCTAGGCCTCTTTGGTATCATAACAGCAGTAGTGCTTGGGAACTGACATGATCTTTATCATGATACATCTCTTAAAATCGAGTTAATAAGAAACTTAGGTTATAACTGCTTCAAGCAAAGTTGACCATACGATACATCAGAATAGACAACATTTTGCTCAATATAATTTCCCGCTCTTAACCTGAGACAACTGTGTTATAGTAGTCCCAAACTGAACTGAAATTGGTATCTGACGTTCTAGGAAGATAATCAAATGAAATTGCAGTCTATAAATGTAAGGTATCTTGTCTCGTTTACATTCGCAATGATCAATAGATAGCAGCAAATCACACTTAATTTGAACATAACGATTTATATTACTTTTATTATTAATCCAAACATGATTTTTAAAAATAGCTACTGCTATAAAATTGAGAATGGAAATGGGGAATGTGTCAAAGAGACAACAACCCGACCATAGAACAGACAACAGCAGAAGGTCACCAACAGGTCTTCAATGCAGCGAGAAATTCCCGCACCCGGAGGCGTCCTTCAGCTGGCCCCTAAACAAAAATATATACTAGTTCAGTGATAATGAACGCCATACTAAACTCCAAATTGTACACAAGAAACTAAAATTAAAAATAATACAAGACTAACAAAGGCTAGAGGCTCCTGACTTGGGACAGGCGCAAAAATGCGGCGGGGTTAAACATGTTTATGAGATCTCAACCCTTCCCCTATACCTCTAGCCAATGTAGAAAAGTAAACGCATAACAATACTCACATTAAAATTCAGTTCAAGAGAAGTCCGAGTCTGATGTCAGAAGATGCAACCAAAGAAAATAAACAAAATGACAATAATACATAAATAACAACAGACTACTAGCAGTTAACTGACATGCCAGCTCCAGACTTCAATTAAACTGATTGAAAGATTATGTCTTCATCATATGAATATCAGGCACAATCCTTCCCGTTAGGGGTTTAGTATCATACCATCATAACATATATGAGAAGAACATAACCCGTGTCATGCCAACAACTGGTTTTTAAATAAATGTGTTTAGTGCCGATGCAAAGACCCTATAAGTGAATCAATATTAACGCCAAAATATGCAATCTTTAATGACCTGACAACAGTATCGTAACTATATCCCTTCTTAATAAGTCTATTTAAAGGTTTTGTTAGCTTCAGAGGTGAATAATGACATTTTTGTGCTTTATAAAGAATATTTTCATAAAAAATTGGATGTGAAATACCTGAACGTATAAGAAGTCTGCATGTTGAGCTATATTTACGAATGATGTCCTTATACCGATGATAAAATTTAGTAAATGTTTTGACTAGTTTGTGATATCGAAAACCCTGGTGTAATAATTTTTCAGTAATACATAAATTTCTCTCGTTAAAATCTAAAACATTGTTACATACACGAGCGAATCGTACAAGTTGAGATATATAAACACCGTAAGATGGTGACAAGGGAACGTCACCATCTAAAAATGGATAATTAACGATAGGAAATGAAAAATCATCTCTTTTATCATATATTTTAGTATTAAGCTTTCCGTTAATGATATAGATATCAAGATCGAGGAAAGGGCAGCGGTCATTGTTAGTATTAGCTTTATTTAAAGTAAGTTCAACAGGATAAATTTCTTTAGTATACATACTGAAGTCGTCATTTTTGAAAGCCAAAATATCATCCAAATATCTAAAATTATTATTAAATTTGTGTATCAGATGTTGTTTCGATGGGTCTTTGCTGATTTTTGTCATAAATTGTAACTCATAGCAATACAAAAAAAGGTCCGCAATAAGTGGTGCACAGTTAGTCCCCATTGGAATTCCGATAACCTGACGATATACGGAATCTCCAAAGCGAACAAAAATGTTATCTAGTAAAAATTCAAGGGCATATATAGTATCAAAGCATGTCCAATTGACATAGTTTTTTTGTTTATTGCTACTAAAAAATGACCTAAAAGAGTTTGAACATATATATTCACATTCTGACTTTTTAAATGCCCATTTAATTAGGTGTGTGAATTTTTTCTTAATGAGAATGTGAGGCAATGTGGTATATAGGGTAGAAAAATCAAAACTTTGAACAGATTCAAAATCACCAATATATGCATGCAATTTATCAAGTACTTATGCTATGCATGTTTAAACATTATATATTTTATGTATATATTTTTCTAATTGTACTTCAATATGTAATTGCTGTCATCTTGAATTTTTTTATATTGTAATTGTTTTGGAAAGGATTATGTTAAGTTGTTATAATTCTGTTTTTTTCCCCAGCAATTTGTATTCTTACGTCGGATATACTGTTGACACAGAACATTGATGATTTTTCATTCAATGGATTTGATGCTGATTATGGATGGTCCTTCGCCCTAACCCTTGTAGGAATGGGTCTCGCTGTGATCGCCGTAGTCATTATGATTGTAGATCTGGTGAAAGGAAGCGGTAATGGGAAGGTGAACAGTAATGACGAAGAAAAATAAACTACATTTGTACATGTATTTCGAAAACAGAGAACAGACATAAGACATACTATAATGTTCATTTTTATCAATTAAACTTTGTTTGTATCATGTCCTTTAATTACAATATGAATAAAGGAAATATTGGAGATACATTAATAATACAGCAACTCCAAAACACAATTCGGCCATCAGGATTCAACATACGATGGTATAAATGCAATAGCCCAATTACTAAATTTTTCGTCGAGCCCAAAAAGAGGGTCTGGAAGGGATTCCTTCATTCCTGTATTCTTTAATTTTTAAAACCATTTTCTCTTTTCTTCATATTGTTTTCCTATCATTCTCTTAGCTTTATATTTCAAACTCTGTTATTCTTTATTCTCTAACTTTTTGCCCAATTTTATTGTATCATTGAGCCATTATACTCTATTCTGTAAATCCCACCCATACTTTCCTTATTCGTCCCAAGTTTAGACAGGTTGCGAAATCAGTTGAAATGGAATTAACTCATCACATCGATACAAAGCACATAAAAACCCTAACAATTTTCAATTAAATTATAACCATGTATGCATATTGCATTTTGTTGGGTCTAGAAGACAGAAGGAGAAAATAGCAATAATCAACAAACAAACAAATAGCGTACAGTATGCACTGTTGATTGTTGAGATGCATGAGATTGATAAGTGTGTTTTAGGTATGATCATACACAGAGTCATCTCCCTTGTCGATTCCTCTACAAACTGTCGTATTGTATGTTGCATCGCACTCTTCACGAAAACCTAGAGCACTGTCATATATGTTACTTGAATCTTTACCACTTCGAGGCCTCACATGATTAAGCCTATCGTATTCACTCTCCAGAGGATCGTCGGAAAATTCTCCATTCGTGCCACAATTCTGCTCAACCACCTGATTACCTGATTGGTTATTCTTTACCACGACCGCATACTCATTATTTCGGATGTTGTTTGAATTGTCGGGAGAAACGTCTAAAAGTCCAAACTTTGTATTATCATCACTGGTTGTATGCATACCGTGCATGGTATTATGAACATCACACGATGCATGGTTGGAATCTTGATATTTCGATATTTCAGCAAGCTCGTTACTTTGATTATCATCAACAAATTTCATCATCTTAAATGGTCCCCATCGCCTAAAATATTAAGCGCAATAAAAAATTAAATTGGTCTATAATGCGTTGTTCAAATATTTGTTGTGGTTTTCAAATAACATATGGTACAACGCAATTACATTGCATGTTCTTCAAAGACTTTGTAGCTTTCATACTCATTTTTGGAATGAACGTTCCGTGTCACATGCTTACTTTAAACCAGTTTCAATGGTCGAAACAAAACGACCACCCGACAAAAAAGTATATTTGTCAAGGTTTTATTACAATTAACATTTCTGTGTAGTTTTTTGGGAACTGTTTTTTTTTTCTTTGTCGTTTTTCTTGTTTGCAATGGTGTTATCTGCTTTTTTTCGACTAAAGGTTTTTGCTTGCCCCTTGGCATCTTTTATTGTCTAATAACCACATTTAGATTGTTATTTTGAGACGTCTTTTGACTGGAAAATAAAGTTTTGTCTACTGACAACATTTTATACATTTTTTAAGACTAAATTGAAGAAAATTGATATGACAGATAGCTCGACCACGTCGCTAACGACTTTTGATCTTTCCATTCAAAGTGTTGTTATCATCATGTTAAAATTACAAGTGAGATACCAACCTTAAGCGGCAAAAAACAATCAAGCCAACAGCCACAACAATAACAATCGCTGCGACTAACGAACCAACAATTAAACCTGAAAAATATGCATGTCTTTATCAAAATATATATAAATTTATATTAAATTATGAAATTAATTTATAGATAGGTCGAAGTGATAATGTTCTTATATCATGTATTGTAAACTCTCCAAAACATGATATGTATAAAAAGTTAGATGATAAAGTACTGAAATGTCTGACCAAGGTTCATGAAACCGAATGCGTGGTTCAGAAGAAGCCATTTTCTGTATGTATAGTTACTGGAGCAAGCAAAATAGCTTTTCAATCGATCGATCGATCGATCGAAAGATCGAGAGAGAGAGAGTTTTCGATGAATGTGTTTAAGATACAAAAAGGGACAAACAGACAGTAGGAAGGAGACGTGGTAATAAAAGAAACATAAGTCAGCTCATATTCTCGAAGTCACACATGCTTGATTTTGGACATTTCTATGAATCCGCCACCGGAAAATATTTTCTGTCATTTCAAATTTTTCTGTTTACCGAACTCATCCAAAGTCTTAATGAGTGGAAACTATTATATATACTTGAATAGGATCTGATAAAAAAAAAATAAACGCACAATCATGACGGCCACAATCAACATTGTGTATTTTGCAACCCACTCCCAAAATTGGTTCCATATTTCAAATCTTCCAAATTATCAAAATTATTTGGGTTCTGATGAGTAGAAACTTTAATTAAAATTTGTAATGGATCCGAACATTTTTGAAGGCATTATTACGGCTATTACAGAGTGATGACAGTTAGACAGACTGATGGACGGACGGACTGATGAAGGAGACAAAATTAATATGCCCTCCGAAACCTCGCTGTTTTGGTTTAAAAAAAACCCACACAATTTCATTATTATATTTAGAAGAGATAGTTTTAGATTGAAATATATTTCAAAAGTGTTTGCATCATAATTTAGTTTTGTGTAAGCATTTTTGACGAGATGATCGAGATATGTAATATATTTTGTCATCTGCTCTAGGTTTTAATGTAGCCCGTTTGTTACACCTTTCATCTGTGTGGTTTATCATATGTTTGCGACTGTTTTTTTTTTACAAATACAGAATATTTTTTGTTTGATTCAATTTTTTCAACTTTGCCATATGAAGGGAGATACCTCAGATAATGTAATTTTACACTGGAATGTGTTATGAACTTACCTATTTTGTTTTGTAGCAAGAAAACGTGTCCCGTGACACTAATTTTTTTTTTCTATTTTGAAAGCCATTATAAGAGCTTTCTTTTCATATTTTATCTTAAAATTCTATGGTTTAGTTTTCTTTCTGTCACACATAATTGTGTTTTTCATGAATAATCTATATAAAATCTGACAATTTTGCACTACCTGTAGATTGTAAAAATCCCCGTTATCCTTACTTATTTCATTATGTATTTGAGAAAGCCATGATATAAACTACATTTTGGCAAATTATTAAAAAAAAATTATGGAATTTAATCTACACCCCCTCCCCCCTCTATCTACCTCAAGTTCACTGAAATGTGAAAATACGGAGGAGGACTAATGATTACAAGTATAACACATATCCAGCGAAGACTTTAAGAATCTATGATCTACACATGTACATGTTAATTTTGGACATGTAGGATGTTCAACATTCTGTTTTGTAGATTGTTAAAGAATTTTGTGTATCATTATGGCTGATATTTTGATACCATGAAAATACATTTTGTAATATATATATACCTATTTTCGAATGACTATCTAATGGTGCTTCAGAAATCCCAGTTGTACTTTCCAAAATATTCATTTCATTAAGTACAGTTGCGTAGGTATGCAAAGAACTATATATCATAGAAGGTGTATGAAACCTTGTTGTTTTTGAATTCTTCTTTGTGCTAGATCGCACCAGGGATGTAGTTACTACATGTATTTGCGAGTTGTAAATATTGTCTAGACTTGAATTAGATGGCCCAACACTTGTCTGTCGTTGATATGTTTGGTTCGATTGTGTAGTTATTTTACTTTCAGTAGTATAACTACCTGTGCTATCATGGTGCTGAGATCCTTTTGGTGATGTATTTAGAGATTCTGAAATGGTAACAGTCATTGGCGCTGAAATTCGTATTGTTGAACTTTTACTTCTTGATTCATGTGAATTATCAGTAGCAGCATAATAAAATGAAGACATTAAAGTACAATATATGGTGTAAAGGACAAAAAGAGTTTACCGTATTTATTTAGCAGATATTTATCTATCTCACTATTGAGACAGTTTAACTAGTATTTGACATAAAATGTATCGATTTGAACGTTTTAGTCACAGGGATTTGAAGGTGAGCTACGTGATGAAATTGGAAAGGTTTGCTAAAGAGTGGGGAGGTACCAAGGCGGAAAACAACAATCTTAAGTTCAATAAAAACAGAAAACATCATGACCGAAAACAAACGCAGAAAGTAAATTTAAAAAAACCAATAATAAAACAGACGACTGAGTATCACAAACCCCACTAAAAACATGTGGCACCTGTCATGTTGATAATGCAAGAAAAAACTTATGATGATTTTCATTCGATAATGTCACAATGATTACAATCTTAATTTCAAGATTGTAAACTTAATTAGTACCAACATTTTTTTCCTTTGAGGCCCTCACAGTGTATCATACACAATGCTACATAACCGAGATAACGTTATAAATCATACAGAAGAAATTGTTGGTATATAATACATTCATTTATTCATTTAATAATTCCTGGATTAACCAGTAAAAACTTAAATGAATTTGATTTGAAAATATTGATATTTAGCAGATGTTTCAGTGTTTCTGCTCCAATCGGGGAAAACAGAAAGGGATTTAGGTTCACACATCCATAATCATCTGTGATTCAGTTATAACATAGCGGTCACCCAAACCATGTTGACATTCATAAAACTTGCGAGATGATGAAGTAAACTTTACAATTTGGTACCCTTGGTTCAAAAGCGTCCTTATAATCAGTTACTGACTTCTATCAAAGAAGTCATTATAAGAAACGCTAGTACTAGAATATCGTATCAACTGGGATACATATACTGCACATATGCCAAGTTCAAAATTAGGAAAATTAAAATCATATCTTTTGTCGTAAAGTTAAGTTTTCAAACGCCCATACGACCCTCGTGGTCAATTTTTTGATTTTAGATATAACTTGAGGTATGAAACAAACTAATCTATGGTCTCCTTTATTTCAAGTTCATTATAGATAGATATAGTCAATATAGTCACCTAACATTGTATTATTCAGTGAAAGGACATCATTTATATAGCGGCAAGGCAAGTTAACGGACAATTCCAGATTATTTAAATTTTTCTATGGAAACTTCTGTACGAAGCTTGTCTCATTGGATTTAAGGAACAAGGGGCACAGTAGGTTTCTATATAAATGCTATATATTGTCTATTGAAGAACATGTGCTCAAACCATAACAAATAACATTTGAACTATTGGTAAAGAGAAACTTGATTTAAATTTTTTTCTTAATTAGGCGAATGCATGCACACAAGTTACACTTAATTTGATTTTTTAAAGTTCATGATTTATCCAACATTTCGAATAACAAACAAACCTTGGATGGATTTAGTTTTAAGCCCATGCGTTTTGAAATTTTAGTAGTTAATATGTTTACTATATTTTCTTCAGTGATGTAATATGTCATTGCTGATAGATTTCCGATCTGTTCATATTAATAACGGGGTCTCATGCAAATCGGCAATCCTCTAAGATCATGTCAATGGTAAATTGGATGGCACCCGGTCCTAAAATGTTGATACTTTATTGCAATTTTCTTCTTTCTCTTTATTCTATGTGTGAATTTTATAATTCTAGTATAATTCTTAGAATGTTATAAATCAAATATGAAAGTTTGAGTAAATTTTGTGTACATAAATATGACAGGAAATGCACCTTTAAAACATGTAGATTAAAATTTTATGCAAAATGTTAGCTAATCAATCCGAAGACACAACACCATATTACAAAAATAAATTAAAAAAAAAATTACCATTCACGCAGAAGAAACCGAAAGTCATTGAGCTGCAATTCTGTAGACTAATATCAATCATGAAATAACCAGTGCAAGAAATGGCTTTACACTTAAAAGCAACAGCTGGTTTCGCTATGGGATCTACAAAAAATGGTTTGTCCATTAGTAGACATTTATATGAAAACACATTTTTAGCCAAACTCTAGATACATACTGTTAAGACCAAGAGGGAAAACAATAGAACATAACTACACTTTACAAATGCATCTGAAATGAACCAGACAAGCAATAACACAAACGTCTTATCATTACCTTCTACTACGGTCATGCTTTGTTTTTTCTTTACTTTCCTACTTCTAAGATTTAAGATAAAATAAATCAATGAAATATTCTTTATTTTTGTTCCTCACTTAAATACATTTTTACGATTGTTGACCACGTTTCTGTTCACACGTAAAATCACTTTCACCATGCAGCAGTTAGTTCTCCAACTGCTGCCAAACTTTTATATGGTATCTTTTAAGTTTTTGCCGAACACATACGTCTTTTCTTATTCATAGGTTCACCTATTTCGTTGCATTCGACTATTGTCTTTTGTTTCTTCTAGTTTTCTTCGATGTTCCCCCTTTTAGCATAGTCAGTTTGATATCAGAATTTGTTACTTGTTTTCTATTTTTCTTTATTTTTCTTGTTCTAAAAGCCGCTATACATGACACTGATTGTATTTTGATTAAAATTTTTGCATAAAGATCGATAAGAAACTTAAAAAATGAAAAATGCCAATTACTACAATATCTAGACAGCCTTTTAAAGATATGATAAGTGTACGATTCCTTCAAATAAGTATTGTTCATTACCTCAACCGCATTAATGAAAGAAACTAGTATATATTACCAGTCTTTACAGATGCATTTTGACCAAATCGGAAGTAACCTGCCAACATAGTTTCATTAGCAATAGTTGGTTTGGTTGCATTTTTTTCAAAATCACAAATATATGGTACTTTATCTTGTGGAATTGGAGTTCTGCGATCGTTATCATTCGTATTGGAATTTTGCTCTGAAACCAAAATGATATTATAGAAAAATATATCATAAACATTTGATGTGTTATCATAATCAGAAAAGAACAAATCTCGAGAGCTTTTAAGAAATTATCGTAATGACAGTATAATGATATACAATAAACAGTATACTAATATGTAATTATAACCTTTTGATAAATAAAGGCAACAGTAGTATACCGCTGTTCGAAACTCATAAATCGATAGAGATAAAAACAAATCCGGGTTACAAACTAAAACTGAGGGAAACGCATCAAATATAAGAGGAGAACAACGACACAACAAAAACACAACATTAAAATGTAACACACACAGAAACGAACTATAATATAACAATGGCCATTTTCCTGACATGGTACAGGACATTTTAAGAAAAAAATGGTGGGTTGAACCTGGTTTTGTGGCATGCCAAACCTCCCGCTTTAATGGCAACGTCAAACACAACACCAAAACAACAACACCACATGACAGGACCACAATACAAATAAATGGGAGAACATATAGGACAAAGAAACACACGAATAATAGCTAACAAAAGGTACTAGGCTTAAAATTCAATACGCCAGACGTGCGTCTCGTAGAATTGATACTATATAAATAAAACATAGCTTAGAGGGTGATATAGCAGATTGTTATCCCGAAAAAACATTGTCAACCGAGGCGAAGCAAAGGTTCACAATGATTAATGAGGGGTAATAATTTGCTCTATCACCCTCTCAGCTACGTGTTAATTAATTTATCATACTGAATGTCTGTTCATTATTGTCTTTTAATTTGTAAATTGAAAGTGAACAACTTTGACGCCATGTTAACGTTACAATTATTAGAAAAACAAAAAAAGTGAAGCAAGATGCATTTTGTTTTACGTTGACAGTTTATAGAAAAGTTCTGAGGCTAAAACTTGAGCATTGTCTTTAAAATTAATGATGTATAAATTCAGTTAATTGTCTTTTAATTATCGATTTGTATTAGTCTGCACGAGAGGGTGACATAAACATGTCTCCCATTAAGCCATAGGATAGAGTCAAATGTCTCCCTCGTATTAACCAATCAAAATCCGGCATTTTAACGCGAAGTATAATAAATTATTGCACCGACCCAATCAACGTATTTTGACCGAGGGCATAGTCCAAAGTCTATATATTTTAAATGGGTTGGTGAAACCACGTTTTAATCTGTAATAAAGGTTACGATTATTTCGCTATAACATCATGTTATTTTAAAGCTCTGACTAACTTTCAGTAATGACCATTCAACATACACAATAAATAAATACAATCTTTTGTCGTCTTACCGCCCATGTGCTCTTTTGTGCATTTCTCCCTTCTAATAATGCATGTCAAAATTCAAAACTTTCACTTTCACTCCGCTGTTTTAAAATTTTCAAAGTTAATTCGTATGCCTTTGTCTTGTTCTGATTTTTGATATAGAATACATTCATTTAATAATTCCTGGATTATCCGTAAATGAATGTGATTTGAAAATATTGATATTTAGCAGATGTTTCAGTGTTTCTGCTCCAATCGGGGTAAATAGAAAGTGATTTAGGTTAACACATCCATAATCATCTGTGTTTCAGTTATTACATAGCGGTCAACCAAACCATGTTGACATTTATAAAACTTTTCAATTTAGTACCCTTGGTTCAAAAGCGTCCTTATAAGCAGTTACTGACTTCTATCAAAGAAGTCATTATAGGAAACGCTAGTACTAGAATATCGTATCAACTGGGATACATTTACTGCACATGTGCCAAGTTCAAAATTAGTCATATCTTTTGTCGTAAAGTTAAATTTTCAAACGCCTATACGACCCTCGTGGTCAATTTTTAGATATAACCTGAGATATGAAACAAACTTATCTATGGTATCCTTTATTTCAAGTTAATTATAGATATATACAGTCAATATAGTCACCTAACATTGTATTATTCAGTGAAAGGACATCATTTATATAGCGGCAAGGCAAGTTAATGGACATTACCAGAATATTTAAATTTTTCTATGGAAACTTCTGAACAAAGCCTGTCTCATTAGAATAAAGGAACAAGGGGCATAGTAGGTTTCTATATAAA